GTCCAGGTGGCTACGCGGCGGGATTGCCTAAGTGGGATAAGTCTGAGCAAGAGATGGAGGGTGCAGGGGTCACTCCCATTACTAGGAGCTAGCCCCCTAGGTGGAGAACTTGGTTCTATGCGCATGGGGGGCGTTGGACCCGAAGACAGGCCTGGTTTCGAAGAAGGCAAGTCTAAAAGGAGCCGAACAAAAGATACTTGACACAATAGAAGAAGCTCGAGCGGCGGTGTTCACGCCCAACAGAGAGAACGATGAGCTTACGTGCGCCCTGGGAAATCCTGAACACCCGGGAAGAACACGAGGCATGGGTGTTATTCCCTGGTATGAGGGCTTTTTGGACTGGAATGACGACTACATGTCCCGCGCAAGAAAGAAGATGGAGGAGGAGAAGAAGAGGAAGCTGGAGGAGGAGCAAGGCACGCGGACCTGACACTCAAATTCCAGCAGCAGCAGCAGCAAATCGACTCACTTAGCCAGGAAAGGGGGTCTCAGTAGCGACAACAGCAAGCGGATGATCGTCCAGCATTGGATAGCACCGTCCCATCCATGCCGAGAAGCAGCGTTGCTTCTACCCCAGGCGACACACCGCTGGATACATACCCTGTGGATGACATCATAGAGAACACTAACTGTGAGCTACACTCCAAAATGAAGAACATATCCATGAAGGTGGCGGACGGTGTTGCTTTTCTAGTGACCCCCGAAGCAACCTACCATTGCATCCCGATTACAGAGGGCTATGCTCGTGTCATGGTTGATGAAGTGGTGAACCCATATTCGGGGCTAACGCTTGACATTCCTGGAGGTGAAGACGAGCGCACAATGGGAGAGGCCATACATCGTATCATCCTATGGAGAAATGATTGCATCATCTTTCGAAGTCCACCGACACCGCGTCGTCTGCCGACTCCTCGAAGTCCGCCACCGAGTCAGCAGACTCCCGCTCCTCCAAGTCCACGAACGTGTGAGACGACTCCTCCTCGAAGTCTGCCACCTCCTCCGCCAGTTTCAAGTCCGGCACCGTGTCAGGCCACACCTCCTGCTTCAAGTTCGGCACATCGTCAGGCCACTTCTCCTGGTCCAACTCCACGTCAGCCATCTCCGCCGTCTCAGCAATCACAGAAGAGACATGCCGCAGCTTTGGTGCGTAGCGGTACGAGTCGAGGTAGTTCAGGAAGTACATGCGGAGACAAGCGATATAAATATGGTCCAAGCCTCGCTCCTCTTCCTCAGAGGCCTTACGACATGACCGAGGAGCAAAACGCAGCCATAATGCAGGCCCAAGTGGACGCCCATTTTGGACTGAAACCGTCACCGCCGCGAAAGGAGAAAGTGCCTCAGAAAACGATTGACCACTTCATTCATATGGCTAGAGCACCAGCTCCCAGGCCTGTTGACTCAGACTATGAGCGTCAAATCAGGAAGCTACATCGAGCACGACTACAGAAGGAAGCGAGCTCGAGCTCGAGCCAACGAGCAGCTGGCAAAAATGCGGGAAAACCGTTCCCCAGCTGGGAGAACAGGCAGCGCAAGCGATCCCCTCGCTTGTTGTGCCAGCAACACATGAGAGGAGTACGCGCGCCAAATATTATTGTGGGCAAACCGTTAGCGTTCCCCAGCAGGGCGATGTGGTAATAATGGAGGAGCATATCATGCAGGCTGAAATGCTCAAGATCTCTGTTGGACAACTCCTCGAAATCGAGCCCATGTCTCCGCTTCAAGAATCGGAAATAAAATGAAAATATGGCTGGGGCCAACCTTTGGTCCATCCAGACAAGGTCAAGGACCTCCCAACGAGAATGTATGAATTGCATCAATGGTACATGAACATGACCAAGATTTTCAATCGAGTGTCCCTCATGGTGAATGTCAAGAAGGAGCATTATTACCATGAGAAAGCTCTGTCCATTGAGTATACAGAACTTTTCCAGTTATACAATCAAGACGCACTCGACAAGTCTATCGTCAGTTGATATTGTCTGTAAGTGATTTCTTTCTGTAATTTAAGTCTCAAGCTAATTATGTAGTGATAATTTTGATCAATCATTACATGTAATTATCCTCACTATATTCTTTTCTGTGGTATTATATGCAGGATGAAGATGTATGAAATGAAAAAATCTGGACGCTATGGCATTGGGTTCATTGACCCAAATACCATTAATGAGGACATATGGAAGTTTCCATTTTATCAAGCAGGTGTAGAGGAAAGCATGGTAGAGTTCTTGAAGTGCCTCAATAGCAATGAAGATATACTACTTCCTTACAACTTCCCCTGAGTCACACTCTCTTGTACTACAAATTCTGTTTTTGCTTACTAGCTAGCTAGATGTTAATAATTAAGTGTATACGGTTTACGGTAGTTGATTAATTTTATGCACATGCCCGCTTATTTAACACTTACAAACGTGTGCGCATGCAGTTGGCACTGGGTCTTGATAAACATTAAAGTTGAGGAAGGAAAAGTTGAATTACTGGATTCACTAACTAAAGAAGAAAGTGACTTCACCATCGTGAAGGGGATAGTCAACAGGTAATTTCAATCATTATTAACTATATATATCTCAGCCTATTATTAGTTCGTCATTTCCTGATATGAACCATTTAATAACCTCTTTATTAATTTTCTTTGCCGGCGGGCAGGGCATGGGCAAAGTTCATAAAGGTGACTCCAGACGAATGAAAACAAAATTTGTTTTGGCATCGACCAAAGGTAAGTAATTAAGTAGTACTAGCTAGCTACCATCTCTTTAATTGTTGTTTCAATATCATTAATTAATTATCATGCTTGATTAATCATTATCTGATTCAATTCCATTCTCGTAAAGGCTCTGAAGCAGGTGTCGGGGAATAATCTGTGTGCATTCTATGTTTGCGAGAACATTCGCATGATGACGTCCGAAAGGAGCAGATCTGATAGACAGGACTGGATACGTTTGTCAGAATACTATTGACACCATTATCGATATCTAGTCACACAACTAACACACATGCATATTGATCTCCTTCTTAACAGTTCAGAGAGGTGCGGGATAAGCTCCTACCATCGGACCGCATACTAGCACTTCAAGAGGAAATAGCCGGATTTTTGCTCGACCAGGTCATAAATCCCAAAAGAGAAAACTATTACCCGCTACCGCCCCCATGAACCACTTGTCATCGTGCTCCGGAGGCACCAAGGCAACATATATATAGGAGAAATTGTATATGTATATACATGTGTATGTGTGAATAATGGTGTTGGTTGTGAGACATTCGATGATATATATATATATATATATATATATATATATATATATATATATATATACGGTTCTATACGTACGAGAAAATCTATTTATATATATGCATAACATGTACAATTTGTAGTATCGTGAAATACCAGCAAACAAAAAAAATGGAATGGAAAATAAAAAAACACCCAAACATTTAGTACCGGTTGGTGTTACCAACCGGTACTAAAGCCCTACACGCACCCGGGCCTGGCTCGTGCCACGTGTTCGCACTTTAGCGCCGGTTCGTGAAGAACCGGTACTAAAGGGGGGACCTTTAGTCCCCACTCTTTAGTGCCGGTTGGAGAATCGGTACTAAAGGACGTTACGAACCGGCACTAAAGGCCGGTTCTGCACTAGTGATACTACATCGAACGGATGGTAGTGGATCTAGCTGGTAATCTGTCTATACCGGGCCCATGTGTCAGCTAATGGAATAGAGAGTTGTGTACATGCAATTGCCGAAGCATACTCAACTGGCAGACATGATAGAATTGCAATTTCGTTCTATTAGTAGTTAATTGAATTTTCTTCTACACTTAGTTTTTAAATTAGCTTGTGAAATTTGGACATGTATGTTTGGAGATGTGGTTGCTCGTGTAACTAGACTCTTTGTTCCTCGCTGCATATGATTTCTTATGGTCTTATTATTGTCGCTTGGATTTCGGGTGGTCTTACGTGAATATATGTTGACTTGAATGTTTTGATGAGTTATATGTTTTATTTTTACTTAGTGCAATGTCAGCCTTCCGGCAACCGAGCCACTGACATTGAAGGATATCTAGTACTCAATAATCTCTCATTACTCTATTTCCACTTGTCAACATAGTAAACTATAATAGGACCATGTATATATAATGAACGGATCTAGAATTGTGCCCAAAGTAATTATGTTTGCGATACCGCATGGTTCGCTATAAACTAAAGTCATCCATATTGGATATAACTTCCAATACGATCTATTATTGATAGTCGAGAAAAGTTCATTACTGGATACTCAGAATGGTCCCTTCATAAAAATAATTGCAAATGGTGTCAATTCCATGTCATGTTACTACTATAAATATTGGTCAAGATTGAATTAGAGATGCACAAACACGCTAGTCGGTCAAAGTATATATACGTCCAGCAAATTCCACCATGGTTCACACAGGAATTTCACACACCAATTATAAAGTTGCGATAACATTTTCACAGTTACATCTAGATTCTTGAAAAGCAGAGAAGAAAAATAAATCTTATAGTTGGACTGAGCACAGAAATAGTAATAAAATTCAAAATACAATTGAAAATTCATCCTACCACCCGGTGGTAGTTACCTCACATGTCTCATATACTAGCATGTGGTACTATATATACTATTTTATTATTTTAAATATGTTCATATACTATATCTAAGATATTTCAAAACAAGTTACATGAAAAAATTGCATATGAGCCCATAGTTTTTGTTATATTTGTGAAATACGTACATATTTGTACGTAAAAAAGAGCATACTCAAAAAATGGTACATACTACCTAAAAATTTGTATATATACTACCTAATCATTATTGTATACTACATACTACGCGTACATATTCTCGGTTTTAACAGATACTACATACATCATACAAAACGCAAGTGGTGGTAACTATCACTGCTTTTAGGAAACATATATATATATATATATATGTGTGTGTGTGTGTGTGCGCGCGCGCGCGCGCGCGCGCGCCGTTGCATTAGATGATCAGTAAGAGAGTTTCCGGGGCTTCACCATGGCGAGCAGTGGGTGCTCCATGACGACAGTGAACTGCACCATCTCCTCGTAGTTGAGCGCGGGCTGCGAAGGGTGCGCGCACCACTCAAACTCCTGCACCATCCGTGCGACCATGAGCGCGATGTGCACCGTCCCCATGGCCGAGCCCGGGCACATCCGCCGCCCCGCCCCAAATGGTATCATCCGGACGCCGGCGGACCCTGTGATGTCTGCCTTCTCGTCACCCGACAGGAACCTGTCCGGGTCGAACTCCATTGGCCGGTCCCACAACTTGGGGTCCTCCGAGATGGTTGGGAGGAAGACATCCAGATTGGCGTCCGTGGGCACGTCATAGCCGGCGAGCTTGCTCCCCGGGTGAACAGCGGCGTGGGTAACCAAGAAGTATGTGGGTGGGTGCTTCCGGAGGAGCTCCTTTACGAAGGCCTGGAGATAGGGCATGTTGTCGATGTCCTTGTCATCGACTGGCCTGGTGTTGCCGACTTTGTGTGTGATCTCCTCGCGGAGCCGAGCCTGGACGCGCGGATTGTCTATAATGCGCGCCATGGCCCACTCGACGGCCGTGGCCGTGGTGTCGGCCCCAGCGTTGAGCACCTCGGTGCAGAGGGTGACCAGCTCTTCGTCTGAGGCCATGGCGTTGCACCCGCCGAAGCGGACTTCTAGTAGAGAGTCAAGGTACGAGAACGCCGCGGCAACATTGGGGTCTGGTGGCGAGCGCTGCATGTCGCGGAGGACGGCTCGGCGGCGGTTGATGAGCTCTAGGAGCGTATCGATCTGCTCCCGGCGGAGCGCGAGCGCGTGGCTCTGCTTCCGCCAGAAGAAGGGGCGAAGACACGGCATGTAATCATCCATGCGCATCCCGAGGGTGAGCACGACGCGCTTCAATACAGACTCGACCTGTAAGATGAGTTGGTCGTCCAGGTCGAGCAGCCCGAAGGTCGACTCGAGCAGGATGCATACCAGAGCGAAGCGCGCGTTGCGGAGCACCCACACGGAACCACCGTCGGGAGACGCAGAGACCTCAGCGCGTATCCGCGACATGAACCGGTCCATGGCGCGCATCCTCGCCGGCCGGGACTCTTGGAGCCGCAAGGTGCTCAGCATCCCGGACACCATGTTCCGCCGCAGCGACCGCCATTGGGCGCCGTACACAGCGGAGTTTACGGTCAACTTGTGGGAGAAGATGTTGCGCCCGCTGCTCTCGACGGCGGGGCGGGTCGCGAACTCCGCGCCCTTCTCGACGAGCGCCTCGTGAGCGACCTCGGCACCGCTGATGATGATGACTGTGCGCACCCCCATCTGAAGCGTTAGGATGTGCCCGTACTCCTGCTGGAGGTCGCGAAGATAGTGGATGAGCTTCTTCCCGGAGAAGGCCACCTGGAAGAGGTTGCCGACGATTGGCCACCCTGGCGGACCGGGGGGCAGCCTCAGGCCTCTGTACTTCCTTGGGTACCACGCTGCTGCGATGGCAATAACTAACGCGGCGGTGGCCACCGCGAGGCTAATCAAGGTGGAAGGCATGGTGGCACTGGGAGGAGGATGGTGCAAGTGCTGGACGAGATGAGGAAGGCCCCTCGTGCTCATCAAGCGTGGAGTGTGTGCCCGATTTTATAGACAGCTCAGTGGCCATTCAGTGGGTGATTATTGTACGCTGTGGCGGTGCTGCTAACTCTAGGACTTATGTGCTTATTACAATCACTATCCGCTAGTGGTCCATTCTCCAAACTCCAAAGTTCCTCTCACAGGGAACTATTAGTCTTTTTTCTATTAGGCCTTGTTTGACAGCAAGGGATTGTGGAGGTTTTGGGAGGAGGGGATTTCAGGGGATTTGGTGAATCCCCTCCTTCCACCCAATCCTCTCAATTCCCCTCAATTTCCCAAGTCTCCAATCCCCTTCCATGAAAACTCATTTGATAGACAGGGTTTGTCATATTAAACTGAGATGGTGCAAAATAGAATAGTACTATTAAAAATCCAATCTTTGAGACTTTAACAACTCGTATAGAAAAAAAATGCTATAGAATTTCACCCGTAGTTGCTACCAGATCATGCAAAGTATCCAAATAATCTCATACAATCAGCTACAGGTTCATGGTTCACATAAAGAAAAAAAAACATTCCATGGACCAGATGAATGTACAGGGTGTTAGTTAGCGAATCGTTATCACAAAGCCGACAACAGGCTAAGCAAGGGTGTGATATTCTTTGTGACTGTCCTCCGAGTCGAGATAGAGAGAGAAAAAGAGTGCGTAGACCAGGTAGATGATGCCATAGTGTAGCCGTTGATGGTGAGCAGCAAGCAGATGCAAAACTCCACCTGTTCAAGACCAAACTAACAAAGATGATTCAAACTCTTCACATGGAACTTCAAACATAAAGTGAAGAAACTACAAACATTAACTTCCTTGCACACACGTACAAATAGTGAAGTGAGATAATCTAAATTTTATGATAAATAATTCCGAATGTTGACAAATAACTTGAGCACATCAACCATGTATAGATGTGTGTATGAGTATATGAAAGACAGACTGGAAGATTATAACCTAGCAATTTTTTATAACAAATCATCACAATCTGCAGGTGACACGGAAAAAATATGACGTCTCCCTCGAATGGGCTCATTTTTCATTGTTGTACATTACTGTTGGCCTGAGCAACTGCTGAAAACAAATTGTAGTGCTTCTCAAGTTTGTTGTCATTGCACTGGAACACAACACTTACATTACTTTCTAAAAAGCACTAGCATGGATCGATGACATAACACTAACGTCATCGAAGCGATAAACAGAAAAAGAACATTTTCTCATTGGTAGCAAACAAACAACAACATACACACATGTACATTAAACCAATAAACTAAAAAGAAACCAAAGCGGTAAGAACTGTGTGCCGCTCAGGTGTGATGTTGGGTCATATCCCAGAACCAAAGCGGTAAATACTAGATAGAACAACACTAGTTGTCTAATCTAGGAAAAATAAATATCCCAACCATTTGAGCTGCATTTCCAGAGCTAAGAAGGAACAACTATGTAAGCTGCAGTTTGAGAGCTAAAGAAAAAAAATGGTTTGTACTGAAGAAAAAGAAAAAGTGCTCAGCTACAACACTGACTGCCGTCTAAAAGAGATATAGATGCCAACTATGTGAGGTACAATTTTTAGATCTAAGAACAGAAATATGTAATGGTGATCCGACTACTCACCACAGAAATCACATATAACATCCATAAAAAAATCATGACCAAATTATAAGCGAGGCATCCATCCAAATATATTATACATATTACATTATAATCAGGGTAGTAATTCTAATACAATTCTCAGGAGGGAACTTAAATGTACTATGCTATCTGTAGTAAACCAAGCCTGGCAATGCAGAGAATCAAATTAACAACAACAAACAATTTCAACTTTACAGATTAAATGAATAAATGACAGGCTGCCACTTTACAGATTACATGATTTAAAGGTAAATGTCAACTACAAGCCCAGAGATAATAATTAGGCTAAGATATTACACTGTTGTAATTGTTAGAGAAGAATATCGAGCAGAAAATTTTAATGCATACAAATTGTTTGCACTAGCACTCTGTATCCTCTATGATCATGAAAACAAAATTGTATTGTGTAAGAACACTCTTCCACACAAAAGTGCAGTGGCTGAACCTTGCAGTTACCTCACTACACAAAAGTGCAACTAAGTTTCACGGGCTTTCAGTGAGTACTACCCCTCCGAGCAATGATCCCAGTACCATCCTAGAGTGTTTATAGGTGAAAGCAAACCCTGGAGGGTGAGTGTCCGTACAATTCACTGCATGTTGATAAAAAATAACTAAATAGCCACCTAAATTACAACCAATATTTGAAGGCTACTGAAGCTGTGTCATGTTCTAGAATTAGAAGAGACAGGCAGACAAACAAACTCCACGACAGAGCCAACTAGGAGAGGAGAAGGATGGCCATGGAGGCAGCCAGCCTCATCGATGGACGCAGCGAACTGCTGCAAAACGGACCAATGGCTACTGGGTGTGGGACGAGGAGCAAGAAGAGTCGGCCCTAGGGTTTGCAGGGGAGGAGATGGAGAAGTGGAGAAGAGGGTAGGAATCACCTCGAACCGGCAGAGGAGGACGTCGATGTGCGTTGAAGATCTGGCGGCGGGGCTCCTACTCTCCTTGTGGAGGTGGGGCGTTGATCCGGCGGCGGGGCTCCTCCTCTCGGTGGCGTGGAGGAGGCTGGCGGCGTGCGCTGGGACGAGCGTTTCCCTGAGTCCTTCGACAAGGGTTCTGAGTCGCGTGGGTTCGGGACGATTGAAGGGGATTGGAGAGGATCGGCCCATGCAAACCCCCTGTACCAAATGGGCCGACGGGTTTTTTGGGGGCTTCTGGTCCTCTCGAAACCCCTCCAATCCACCCGCGTCAAACGAAGCCTTATGGAAAAGCTTTTATCCAGTGGATTCCATCTGAATTACCATCAGTAGCGGTGAAATGCAGAGGTCGGCGATGGACGATGGTATTCTCATGTGACCATGGTACGGGTACCCCGGATACAGTACGCGCATAGGCAGGGTATGGGCACAATTTTACATCCATGGATAGTACTCATACCCTACCCGTTAAGTCATGTGTAGGGTACGGAAATAGCCTTTTACCCATGGATATACCCATACCCTCCCCTTTATATACTAAGAATTTTACCCGTGATTCACAAGTATACCTATGTTAAGTATGAAACGTGAGCTTATAAACCTATGTTAAACGTGAGCATTATGGGCGTCAGTCATATTCCCGCGGCATCTGTTCAACACTAAACTACAATTAATGAACCAAAGAGAAGGAACCATCACAGGATCATAGCTTCAGTGAGTTTCCTGAAGAATCTGCCAGGTATTGGAGAACCTTCCCTCCAACGCAACCATGTAGCGACGGACGTGCTCGACCTCCTCGCTGACACGGTGGCGTACCACCTCCACGGGGTCCTCAAGCCTCCGCAGCATCACTGGCCTACGCGACCGCCACCAAAGAAGTTTCGGGTCAACGATGGGCTGGCTCCTCACCAAGCTACGCCTCCGGGAAGGTAGCACATCTCAGTACCAGCCCAGCGGAACCCAGTCCCAGACATGGCCCCTCTGATCGAGCAGGCCTCCTCTGCCGAGTCGACGACGAGGATGCGGGATAGGCATCGTCGACATTGATGCAGAAATAATTGCTTTATCTAAAAAAGCAAACCAATTTTATTAATTTTCATACTAAAAATAAAATAGTTGTATTAATTCAACTAGTTCAACTAAGCACTTACTATAAATAAAAATAAACCAGTTCTTACTAATAATAAACTAATTCAATTAGTTCATATTTATTTTCTTACTAAAAAAACTAGTTCTATTAATTCAACTAGTTCTTACTAAAAATAAACTAGTTCAACTCGTTCTATTACTTTTCTTATTAAAAATAAACTAGTTCTATTAATTCAACTAGTTCTTACTAAAAATAAATTTGTTCTATTATTTTTCTTACTAATTCTATTAAACACTTACTAAAAAACAGTAAAAAAACATTGAATTTTTTCTCTAAACTAAACACTACTGCCCTAGTTAAACCCCTACTGCCGTAACCCTACCGCCCTAGTTGTTAAGCATCTACAAGTACCAACTAATTAGATGAACCCTACCTAGGTACTTAAGCATCTACAACTACTTAAGCATCCATTGATGAACCCTAGGAATTTGCTTAAATCTAATTAAGCATCTACAACTACTGCCCTAATTAACATCTAGTTTACAATTAAGCGTCTACAACTACTACCCTAATTAGCATCTAATTTGATGAACCCTAACTAATTAGATGAACTCTAAAATTTGATGAACCCTACACTACTAGAGAAAAGCTTACTAGTAGCGCTTGTTTGTGTGCTACCAGTAGCACGGGTACCAGCGCTACTGCTACGGCGCTACAACTATTTTGTAGCAGTAGCGCGTTTCTAGACCAGCGCTACTGGTAAGTTCAACTACTAGTAGCGCGTTTTTAGGCCAGCGCTACTGCTAACATTTATGTTTTCTTTTTAATATTTTGGCGTTGTACATGTTTAAAGAGATATATCTTTTATACAATAACAACTCATCATGAACTAGTCTGTTTAAATAGCATATTCATTACCAGTAGTCATCACCACCAAACAATGTTCGTCAATGAGACATCATATATATAACAAGTTGGTCACTAGTCATAATCACAACTCCTCATCCTCCTCATCAACTCTAACACATTATAGCACATAATAACACATTCTACCTAGGACTTACTCCTCTCATAGGACCTACTCTACCCTCTCTTAGGTAAAATATCGTAAAACAAGATAGGCATTGACTCTTCATTAAGGAAACTGAACTCTCCATAATGAAGAACAGAGATCATCCTGTCTCCAAATCTTGGCCTACACACAATGTTGAAGGAAATATGCCCTAGAAGCAATAATAAAGTTATTATTTATTTCCTTATTTCATGATAAATGTTTATTATTCATGCTAGAATTGTATTAACCGGAAACATAATACATGTGTGAATACATGGACAAACATAGTGTCACTA